GGAAATTAACGTAGCACACTCATCCTAAAATTCGGCCCTGCATGATTTCGGTTTTGGTTCAGACGTGAAGTAAGACTGTTTGCCATTAGAAGGTCACTATTAGTTTAGTTGCTTTCCTATTTTGTCAGATTTTGTTATTTTTAAACATTAATAAATCAACACGTAATGAAACAAATTTAATTTTTTTTTGCACGGTTGAATAGAGAATAAAACCCCCTTTCAAATGAGCTATCACTCACCACCCCATGCCATTTAAATTTTTCGAAAGGGTTGTTCCCCTCGAGTAAGGGATGAAATTAAGGGTAAACTAATCATACAAAAATGTACATTGTAGAAAACAAAAATCGACCTGTCTCGGCGATTTTCCTAACAAGACTTCAGTAACGAGTTAGTTAGGGAGGGTAAGACTTAAGATTCTCACTGTATGTTACATAAAGTCAATTTAGATTTTAAGTTTGAAGAATAAATAACTAAAATGTATCTCTAATTTAAAATTCACATCTCATAAAAAGGTGCTAAAAACATTGTATACTAAAAGAATGGTTACATTTTATCGCAGAAATTTTAGTTGTTTTTGTACTTTTCTTAAAATGGAATATCTTCGAACAAATAAATCACCTAATATATTTTACGCATATTTAAGCGGTATTACCTTTCCCAAATATTAATTAATATTTTTACGCTGGTTCTTGATATCACAATTTATTTGAACTCAACTTTTACAATAACTTAATTCAACTGACACAATAACTTTAACTGATAACATTAACGTTGAACGTCTATCATAAAACTAAAACTCTGACGTCAGGTCGTCGCCTTATATAGCTTGCCTCCTCTTCTGGAACCTTCTCGAACAATCTGAAATTTTCTTTGACAAGGAATGACATTTCAAGACTTTTCGGGAATATTCTATCTTCTTCATTTACTCGTTCCTTTACTTCTGATGTCCGCAGCACGCTACAGGGTGCTGCGTAACATTGCTCCCTCCTTTCTAGTTATTCGCCTCGAATAACTTGATTACTGGGATCTGGTTGGAGCCAACGGGGAGGATCTGATCCACGGTATGGCGCTAACTTCTCAATGTGAACTACCTTAGGTTTACTTCTCGTTGACAACTGAATACGGTAGATCAGGTCGTTGATTTTCTTGAGGACGGTGTAGGGGCCTTCCCAGTTCCGTTGCAGCTTCTGACAAAGTCCTTTTCGGCGCTTGGGATTGTACAGCCATACTGGATCGCCTCTCTCAAAATATGTCCCTGTGGCATGCATATCGATTCTAGCTTTTGCTTTATCGCTATTAACTTACAAACATTGACGAGCGAATTCGTATACCTTCTCTAACCTTTCTTTTAAGTTCTGTATGTACGTGGAAGGAGTACGCATCTCTTCTTCACTAGGAGACTGCCTTCCAAAAAGAAGATCATGTTTCATCTCCCTTCCGGTGATCATCATGGATGGGGTATAACTGGTCATTTCATGTTCAGAACTTCGGTAGGCTAGCAGAAATAGAGGAATTAAAGTGTCCCAGTCTTTTTGATTATCAAAGCGAACATTGAAAGATACTGGCATATCGTTCTGTTGTGTCTTTCTACCATTCCGTAGGACTGTGAGTGTAGAGGCGTAGTGCGTGTTTTCCTGATGTCTAACAGTTTCATTAATTCTTGCCATAATTCGCATTCAAAATTTCGTCCTTGGTCAAGTTGTAATTCCAGGAGGACTCCGTGTCTCGCAATGACGTTCGTCATAAATGCTTCCGCTACTGTCGTCGCTTCCTGATTAGGAATAGGCACTATTTCGGGCAAACTTTGAAAAATAGTCCATAACAACCATCAAGTATTTGTTTCCCCTTTCTGTTATGGGAAGTGGTCCGAGGATATCAATGGCGATTCGTTCTAAAGGCTCTCCGGAAAGGTACTGTGCCATTTTACCTCTACTTCTTGTTTTGGGCCCTTTTCTGCCATTACAGAGGTCACATTTCTTACACTAATCTTCTACATCCCGCCGGCAATTGATCCAATAAAATCTTTCCCGAACTCGTGCAAGTGTTCTTTTAGTACCAAAGTGTCCTCCTGAACGACTGCTATGAAGCTCCTCCAATACAGTTTTGACCTGGGATTTCGGCAGAATCACTTGGTGGACTACATGTACTACACTTCCGGTGCAATAGGCCATCGTAAAGATACAGGGAATCCCACTGAGTCCAGTACCATTTAATGGTTCCACTATATTTGGCTATCTCTTGCCATGTAGGTCTGACTCCATTTCTGAGCCATTATCGGACAACCTTCAAGTCATTGTCTTTCTTTTGAGTCTTTCTTAGGCTTTCAAGGGCGATTTCGTCTTCGTTATCCTCTGGTTTGATAGTGGTCGCCTGTAGACTAACTTCTTCAACCAGCTCCTCTCGTTCTTTAAGCCTTTTACAGTAACGGCATTGTCGTTCTGAACAGGGTCGCCTGAAGAGAATATTTGCGTTGCTATGGAGACGTCCCCTTCGATGCACTATCTTAAAGTTATATTGTTGCAGTCTTTCTATCCATCTAGCAACTTGTCTCTCAGGTTTTTTTAAATTCATCAGCCACTGCAAGGCACTATGGTAACTTCTAATGATCAAACTTCTGTTAAAAAGGTAAGTATGCAAGTGTTCAAGGGCTTTGACAATAGCTAATAGTTCTTTCCTGGTGACGCAATAATTCTTCTCTGCTTTTCCTAAGGTCTTACTAAATTAAGCGATTACTTTCTCTTCCCCCTCCTATTCTTGCGATAGCACGGCGCCCACGCCGTGTTGGGAAGAGTCGCAGTCAAAAATAAATTGTCCTCTTTCTCGAGGGTATGCTAGGATGAGTGCTATGGTTAATCGTTTTTTAACTCTGTGAAGGCATTTTGACAATCCGACGTCCAGTCAAATAGGCTACTATTTCCAGGTTAATCCTTTCAAAACCATTTCCATTAGACGTTCAAAGGTAGCTGGGGCATTACAGAGACCAAATGGGAGAACCTGGAATCTGTATAGTCCGCTGCCAGTTGAAAAAGCAGTTTTGTCTCGATCGTCAGGATGTACTTCTACTTGCCAGTATCCACTTTTCAAGTCTAGCGTGGAAAACCATTTTGCACCTGATAGCGTGTTTAGTATGTCGTCTATTCGGGGGAGTGGATAGCTGTCTTTTGGTGTTATCTGATTTAATCTTCTATAGTCTACACAGAAACGAGTAGAGCTGTCTTTCTAAGTTACTAGGACCACAGGTGAGCACCAGGGATTAGAAGCTTTTTCAATGATATTTGCAGCTATCATGTCCTGTATCATATTTGCTACTTCTTTTTGTTTAGCAAATGGAAGTCTTCTAGGTGTCTGATGTATTGGCCTTGCATCGCCTGTACAAATTCTATGCTGAACAAGACTGGTACGCCCCGTAGATTTTCCTGTCTCGAAAAGGTCACAGTTGGTATTGATAAATTCTTTGACTTTTCTAAGTTCTTCAGCTGTCAGCTGATCATAATTTTTAACTAGCTGTTTTACGAAGTTGGCGTCAACTGAGTTACTTGTGATGGCTTTACCCGTGGAACTAAATAGATAGCTGTAAGCTATTATTAAAAGAGAAATTTGGTATACAATTTACAAGTTAATTACTGATTTAAAATTTTTATTATTCAAGTATACCTACAGATTTGCTGATTAAAGAATAATAAAAGCAGAACAATTTTTCAGAGATTGTATTTTCAGGTTTCTAGTATCTACGGGTACCAATGAATCAACAAATCCGAATAATTTTCAGTAGTGAAGCAAAATTAGATAAACAGTTATAAAAGTGAATCTTAAATAAATTAAAGTGAGTAATTAGACATAAATTACCATACGTTTTTCATAAAATCAACTGTCAACAAGTACGAACAATTACTTTTTTTTTACAAAAGGCAAACTGCAGCTATGAAGATTTAACTTTTTTTTTAATTAAAATAACAGTAATTGACAGCAATGGCGTGATTACAAAATGACAAACGTCAGTTGTTAAAAAAAATGCTTTTAGCATCTAAAGCTTTAAATTTTATATTTTCAATAAATTTGTAATATGAAATTGATATAATAATAAAAATTATGTTTTAATATTGAAGTTTTCTTTAATTTGATTATAGAATTGGTCTTAAGGGAAGTTAAAAGTAGAAATAACAATTTTGGAATAATTATTATTATAATAACGCTTCTCAATTATTATGGAATTATCCTGTAGGTAACTATGTATACATAAACATTTGTTTTAAAAATTTTTAATGTTTCTTATAAACTTATTATGTTTCATTAATTTTAGGTATTCCAAAATGTTCTAACAAGTTAAAATCCAAATACAACCGTATAAAATGGTTAAACGGCACTATCCCTGAAGGTAATAGAAATATTGCAATTGGCAATGACATGAGAATTATAGATAAAGGACAATCATCTAAAGTCAGTTTTAAATATATAGGGTATCCCATCCCTATAAAATGTAATTTTAAATGACACACCCTGTTTTTCCTTGATATATCTTATAGTTTATTATGTGCCTGTTACTATGTGCTAAATTAGATTAATATTTATTATCAATAACAAAAACTTTTTACAAAATTATTCAGAACAATATTTTATGTCTAGCTTGTACTTAATTTATAGATTACTAGGTAATTGACTATGACAAACTTGTTTAATTAGCTTGTTAATAGTAAAATTTATATTATTAATACACATTTGTTATATAAACGTGGTACTAAGTAGAAAAATTATAAAACATTTAAAAAATATCTGAAATTCCACGAAACTGTTCTATGAAAACAATAAACTACCCACTTTTAATTATTTTGATAATTTTGTATAACTTTGTAACCACTATTGTTTCCCAATATAATAGTAATGAATAAAAACAAGAAAAATAAAGATAATCTATTCAAAGCAAAAACTAATGTTTATATTTTTAATTTAAGAACATTAAACATAAACAATGTAACGTAATATGTATTTGTTCATATCCTTACTTTGTCTTTGAAGCGCCGCTGCCATCTTTTCAAAATTCCAATTTTGTTTACAATTAACAATTTTCCCGCTATAGGTTTTCTCTTAATGTCACACTAGACCGAAACAAAATAATAGCGCGAACGATATAAAATGCAATAAATAGAATAGGATCACTTTTGTGGTTGCCCCCACTGTTTACAATTTTTTCGGTATTTTTAGAATCGAAAAAACAACTTAGTAGGCCACATGTTATTTTCAGACGTGCATCCAAAATTTTATTTTTTTATTCACAGATGTTATTTCAAATGTAAATAAATAAATAAAAAAAAAAACATGTCAATTACTTAAGTAGTTGATAAGAGCCAGTAAATTTTCGGCAACATAACTTATCTAGTTAGATACATGTTTTAGAATTATTATAAACAAAGGGGGATATATTTAGAAGTTATTCAATTTTTTGTTTCGCAAATAGTTGAATTTTTTTTTTGATGATTTACTACGAGCCCTAACAACTAAATGATGACAAACAAAACATTATTAAACACGTTAATTTACACAATCTAAATAATTAAACTAAAGAACTACATTAACAATATATTAAAGCCTATCATTTATAATAAACATGTAAATAGTTTTATTTTATACAGATTGAATTATTAAACAAAACTGTTGCACCATGTTCGGTTTTACCTAGTTACCTAGTTACCGTGTGACAGTTACTTGTTAAATTTGGTCAAAAATGGAAGAACGTCAAATGTAAAAATTCGTGAATTGGTAATCAAAAGATATTGTTAGGGGAAAAATGCGTAAAATTGCGGATGAATTAGATTTGGCTAAGTCGACAATTGGAAACCCACTTAGACACTATCGTAAAAGTGTAAGGGTCCAACCTAAAAGTTCTGGTAAACCCGGAATTGTGTCTGAAGGATGAAAATTTGCAAACTGGATACACAAATTAGTATTTAGTTTTTACAAAGCAAGTTCAAAAGTTTTTATTAAATTCATGATTTTTATTATTTGTAATGTTTTAGGCGAAAGAAAAAATGTGCTAAACAGAAAAGCAGAAAATAAATCGGATGAATTGGGCAAAATCAAGAATTTCATAGATCAGAGGTCTTGAAACATTCCAGCCTTAGGATCATACTGATTACTCCAGTAAGTTTCAAGGGCCAAAACAGTTTTAATTTTTCTGCAATTATCTATAATTTCTAGACTAGTCGCCCAGTACGCGCTATGAGCGAGCATAGGCTTGCTAAATTCGCTAGATGAGTTAATATTATGTATTGTTACGACCGTGACACTTGATTGAGTTTCCCGTTGTTTTTGCGATCGAGGCTTTTAGTGTTTTAAAGATAAATTTTGATACTCGTTTCTCAGACTTTAATCTCATTGCGATTGAAATTAAGATTTTTCAAAATCTTTTTGATCCGACATTGAAACCCTAGCCCCAAAATTTCAAATGAAAATTATTTTCCTTCTTATCCTTCTTCTTGTTGTTCTATTTGTTCTTCTTCTTGTTCTTCTTCTTGTTCTTCTTTTTGTTCTTCTTCTTGTTCTTCTTGTTCTTCTTCTTGTTCTTCTTCTTGTTCTTCTTCTTGTTCTTCTTCTTGTTCTTCTTCTTGTTCTTCTTCTTGTTCTTCTTCTTGTTCTTCTTCTTGTTCTTCTTCTTGTTCTTCTTCTTGTTCTTCTTCTTGTTCTTCTTCTTGTTCTTCTTCTTGTTCTTCTTCTTGTTCTTCTTCTTGTTCTTCTTCTTGTTCTTCTTCTTGTTCTTCTTCTTGTTCTTCTTCTTGTTCTTCTTCTTGTTCTTCTTCTTGTTCTTCTTCTTGTTCTTCTTCTTGTTCTTCTTCTTGTTCTTCTTCTTGTTCTTCTTCTTGTTCTTCTTCTTGTTCTTCTTCTTGTTCTTCTTCTTGTTCTTCTTCTTGTTCTTCTTCTTGTTCTTCTTCTTTTTCTTCTTGTTGTTCTTCTTCTTGTTCTTTTTCTTGTTGTTCTTCTGTTCTTCTTGTTCTTTTTCTTGTTCTTCTTCTTGTTCTTCTTCTTGTTCTTCTTCTTGTTCTTCTTCTTGTTCTTCTTCTTGTTCTTCTTCTTGTTCTTCTTCTTGTTCTTCTTCTTGTTCTTCTTCTTATTCTTCTTCTTGTTCTTCTTCTTGTTCTTCTTCTTGTTCTTCTTCTTGTTTTTCTTCTTGTTCTTCTTCTTGTTCTTCTTCTTGTTCTTCTTCTTGTTCTTCTTCTTGTTCTTCTTCTTGTTCTTCTTCTTGTTCTTCTTCTTGTTTTTCTTCTTGTTCTTCTTCTTGTTCTTCTTCTTGTTCTTCTTTTTGTTCTTCTTCTTGTTCTTCTTCTTGTTCTTCTTCTTGTTCTTCTTCTTGTTCTTCTTCTTGTTCTTCTTCTTGTTCTTCTTCTTGTTCTTCTTCTTGTTCTTCTTCTTGTTCTTCTTCTTGTTCTTCTTCTTGTTCTTCTTCTTGTTCTTCTTCTTGTTCTTCTTCTTGTTCTTCTTCTTGTTCTTCTTCTTGTTCTTCTTCTTGTTCTTCTTCTTGTTCTTCTTCTTGTTCTTCTTCTTGTTCTTCTTCTTGTTCTTCTTCTTGTTCTTCTTCTTGTTCTTCTTCTTGTTCTTCTTCTTGTTCTTCTTCTTGTTCTTCTTCTTGTTCTTCTTCTTGTTCTTCTTCTTGTTCTTCTTCTTGTTCTTCTTCTTATTCTTCTTGTTCTTCTTCTTGTTCTTCTTCTTGTTCTTCTTCTTGTTCTTCTTCTTGTTCTTCTTCTTGTTCTTCTTCTTGTTCTTCTTCTTGTTCTTCTTCTTGTTCCTCTTCTAGTTCTTCTTATTGTTCTTCTTCTTGTTCGTCTTCTTTTTCTTCTTCTTGTTCTTAATCTTGTTCTTCTTCTTGTTCTTTTTTTTGTTCTTCTTCTTGTTCTTCTTTTTGTTCTTCTTCTTGTTCTTCTTCTTGTTCTTCTTCTTGTTCTTCTTCTTGTTCTTCTTCTTGTTCTTCTTCTTGTTCTTCTTCTTGTTCTTCTTCTTGTTCTTCTTCTTGTTCTTCTTCTTGTTCTTCTTCTTGTTCTTCTTCTTGTTCTTCTTCACGTTCTTATTCTTGTTCTTCTTCTTATTCTTTTTTCTTATTCTTCTTGTTCTTTTTCTTCTTGTTTTTCTTCTTGTTCTTCTTATTGTTTATCTTCTTGTTCTTTTTCTTATTCTTCTTCTTGTTCTTCTTATTGTTCTTCTTCTTGTTCTTCTTATTGTTCTTCTTCTTGTTCTTCTTTCCAAAATACAGGGTGTCAAAAATGAAAATTCAAAAATTTTATACCCTGTATACCCTGCATACAAGAAAAAGTATTTTCCATGTCATTTATTTAAAATAATTAATTTTAAATGGAAGCTGCAAAAAATTTTTAATCGACAAATTTTCCAAGAAAACTAAAAATTTCAGTATACTACTCGACGTTCTTCACAATTTGACATGAAAATTGACCCCATACCTCAAACATATTTGCCAGGAAAATTAGGGGAACATTTTGGTTGAACACTTTTCCGGGAAAAATGTTGCTTAAAAGAGAAGATAGAGCAAAAAGACCTTGGAAAGAATTATGCGAATCGACAAGAAGCGTCAATTGATATATCACTTGTCAGGATTTTTATGACCGGGGGAGGGGGAAATAAAAAAAATTATAAAAAATTCAAGGTTAATGTATTTTTGAAATGACCCTACCGAATAATATAAGAAAATTGGAAATAGTATACGGTAAAGGGGTTTTTCACCAATTTTCTGACTAATTCAACTTTTTTTCGGTAGCGGAAATCCTTTCGTTTAGATAAATTAAAAAAATATATATTTTCATTTACTGAATTTTCCGACTTTCCTGACGTTTTTTCAGAAAAAAAACCTATAAATCTACGTGTACTATTCGACGTTCCTCACAATCTGGCATCAACATTTTCAAGCTAACTCAAACACATTTCCCAGAAAAATTATGGGAAATTTTGGATCGAACTATTTTTCTGAAAAAACATTGCTAAAAAAAAGGAGATAGAGCAAAAACCTTAAGAATAACTATCCGGCTTGACGAGACGCATCGGTTGATGTAACACATGACATGGTTTTAATGACAGGGGGAGGGAAAATATTAAAAACCGTGAACATTTCTGGATTTTTTTTAGAAATTTAAGGAGAATTTAAAATAAATGCGTTTTTAAAAATTACTCTTTCTGATGGTATCGGAAAATATAGAATTTTTCTAAGGTAAAGTACTTTTTCACCAAAACTGATTCATAACAAGGGGAGGGGATAATAAAAAACGCGAAACTTTTTGTATTTTTAGAAATTTATGAATAACTATAAATAAAAACGTTTTCATCTATCGGATGGCATTGGAAAATTTTAAATTATTGTATTATGACTCACTAGTTATATACTAGATTTGTCTTTTCTTTTTTCTGTTCTACCGTAATTTCAATTTAGTGCCAAAAACATAAATCAAGAAATTTGTATTTTTGGCAAACCAAATCTACAAAATTTTTAACACCAATTTTATTATACTACTAAGCGTGGGTAGGGTTTAAGTTAGGTTATCTCTTTTAATTCTTATTATAAAGGAGTGGCATTTTACCTTTTTGACCAAGGCAGCGAAACTGCTAACGCTGGCCTTAGTGATACATTTAGTAGAATTTTAATAAATTTTTGGTTTTCAAACTTTACCACTTGGCCACTGTCAGAAGACATGAATAAAATTTTTAATTTAAAAATTATATTTAGAAATTTTATAAATTATTTTTAAAATTAGTCAAAAATATAATAACATTACTTACCACCTTCTGAAGTGAAGCTTTCAGTGTCCGAAGGTAGCCATTTCGCTTCGGGTGGTGTCGATAACACAGGATTACCGTTTTTTTGGGAAAACTGTTGATCAACCATAACCAAAATATATTCGACAGCTCGTTGTGCGAAGGCACGTTCCTTCGGTACCGATTTCACCGTGGTTGAAGAAGCTCTGTAAACTAGAACATTATTGTTAAATGGTGTTCCATACAAGAATACAAAGACGTACTAAAGGGTAAACAACAGAGATTAAAGTGATTTTTTATAACGAGCCATCCAGAAAAATCATAATTGGATTAGGATGTGGAGTTTAAATGCCTTGGCTTGGTACTTTAGCCAC